GGAGAAATGAAAGTTGGAGGGGTAGAAGGAAGGGTGTATGTAGGATAGAAGTGTTATGAGTTGTTTATTCTTCTTTTTTTTTTTAACTGCACAGTATTTAAGTGATTGTATAAAGGAAAATGAAAATGTAATAAAAGAATCTTTGATAACAAGATTTATAGAAAGATGGCAGCTCCGACCACGCTTTAAGCCGAAAACACCAGCCTGAAGATGGAAAGTGAGACCTCGCCAAAACGTTGCCAAGACAATCTCAAATTTACATGGGAAAAGACCCAAATACAACAAGACCAACATACCTACACCAGTGCAAATCCAGAAATATATATATATGCTGGTCTTGTTGTATTCAGGTCTTGACTAAAACTTCTAAAATAAAATAAAACAAATAACAATTTCCAGAAATGAACAAAGAATCTCATGAGGATGGAATACAGAAGTGGAGAAGTGCCGGATGAATGTTACCTGACACATGAATAGGGATTGGTGGTGGTGGGGATACCCATTGCCTTTTTCTGCAGGAATGGGATTTGCAAGACAAGACAAGATTCACTGTTGCAATACTAAGCAAATTGGCTCGTCTGACTTTTTCTAATTGGAAAATTGTGTGCAATGTTTTTCTGGGTTAGGAACGGAATGAAATAGAATAGAATAGAACAGAATATAATATAGAAATAGAAATTAAAATAGAATAGAATGGAATAGAATTTGGAATAATAGAACAGAACAGAACATAATATAGAAATAGAAATTAGAATAGAACAGAACAGAATAGCTTTATTGGTCAAGTGTGATTGGACACACAATCACACTTGTCTCTCATGCAGTAGCTTTCGGTGTACATGCAAAGCAACAGAATCATCATCACCATCACCATCCCAATAACAGGGGGAAGTAAAGAAGTTAATAAGACGGCTAAATGAGAATCCTACAGCCATGCTGGGTACACAGACGTAAGGCAGTGCTGTGGGAACGAGGCATTTACCAGAGTGTGGCAGGAGGGAAAAAGCTGCCTTCGTGTCTGATTATCTTGGCCTGCAATGCCCTGTAGCATCATCCCATGGAGAGGAGTAGAAACAGTCTATGTCCAATTTCTCCAGATATTTTCTCAGCCTTCCTTCTGACCCGTGCAATGGACAGATATTTGTCCTATTAATGCCAAGGGCTCAACTGGCCAGATAAACCAGGCATCTCCCAGAACCCAGGGCTAACCCAAGTTAAGCTCTTGGGGCCCCCTGCTTGGTGAGGGCCACGGGAGGAGGCTTCAAGGGCTGGCTTCCCGAGAGCCGTCCACCATGGGGTGGCCTTTTGGAAAAGCAACTCACCTCAAACTTCTGCCTGAACTCCTCATTGCCTTCTTCACCTTCAGCTGGGACAGGGACGTTGAAGTATTCTCCCTCTTCCTGGCTCAGGAGCTTAAACCTGGAGAGAGGAACAGGGAGTTGTCAAAGAAGGTGTGTCCTGTTCTTTTTTTTTAATTAGTTGTGCTCACTTTTAAAGAAAGGAATGGTCCAAGCAGAAGATGCACAGGTAACAGAGGTCGACACTCAAGCACCCCAAGAACAGAAGCGGATGGAAACCTTGATTGAGGGCATTGCGCTGTGGGTGATGCCTCTGAACCCTTTCCCCACATCCAAAAATGCTTAAAAGAAGCAAACAAAACCCACAGAGAGGCAGAATGGGGCAAATGCATGCTTTGGTTTGCAGGTTATTTTAAAAATCGGCAATTCTGTCTTTTTAAATTCAAATTTTCCTTTTTTAATTGTATAAAATGCAAAAAAAGGAAAAGAAAATAGGAAATGAAGGGAAGGGAACAGAAAAAGGGGTGTGAAATGCAAGGGGGAAGAGAAAAAGAAAGAAAAGGAGGCATTGACTTCCAACTCTTCCTAGCACAGTATAAGATAACTACACTCCAACCTCAACTTTTGGCTTCTACACATTAATTTCTATAACACCAAATCTTTCTAATCAACAAAACCAAAATCAAAGTTTTATTTTTTTTAATTGAATACTTTATTTAAAGAGGAAAATATGTTCTTATTTGAATATCACTTCTGGAATTTTGTTTGTCAAGAAAAAAAATGGGCAGTTTTTTCTCTCCCTCTTGCTGCTCACTCAGCCTACTTAACATTGGGCAGCTAATTGTGCCTGCAGAGGAGGCCTGTGTGGCTCCAGACCAAGAGGGGATTTTCAAGATTAAAGGGAGGAAGAAGCATCTCCTGCTGGAGGATGGGGACTGAGCAGACAAGACGGGATTTGCATCGTGTCAAGGCCCCTTCCTCGCCCCCTCCCTCTCCTCTGGGTATGTACCATGGCTCTTTAGAGATGAAAAACGGATGGGAGCTCTCCTCCTCGCAGAGTTTATTTAAGCCAAGTACTGTGACAAGGAAAATTACTTAGATCTCCACTTACTGGTTTTTAAAAATGCGGCACGTAGCTGCTTACCATATATTTTACATGCTCTCTAATGTGCTCAGCTGGTAGAGTCAAACTGGAGCCCAGACCGCAGGTGACAAGGAAGCCAAAGGAAATAGGAGAGACGGAAGGAGGACCTGGCTGTCAGCCAATGCACAGACAGGGCACATTGTCCCCAGCGGCCCTAAGCCTCTGAAGGCCACTCCTGACCCCCCTGGCTGCCCGAGCCCTTATGGAAGGCTAGCACTGTGAAAGGGCCAAGTGATAAGAGGCTTCCCTTCCAAACATCCCCCCCCCCCAGTGCCTTCTCCCCCATGGCTTTGGCCGAGCCCACACATCACGCTTAATCTGCTAGTGACTGGTTATGCCCAATAAACATGCCAGGCTTGATTAGCTTTCACCCAGACTGGATTTGGGCAGAATGAAGCCCTAAGTTACAGGGAGCCATAAAGGCTCTTTTTTGGCAAGGTCTTGCAGACAACAAGGCCGCCTGACAACTGAACTTGGCAAGCATGCCATCCAGATGAGTAACAGGCTCAAGTTGGCATGTGGAGATGTTGTGATTGCATGCCGAATCAAAGCGTATCTTAATCAATTATCAAAGGTCATGTGAGCCACTTAATTTATGGAGACCTTCGTAAATGACATTGGAACTGTAATGAATGAAAATAATTTTGAGAGGTGCCTTTAAGCTATAGCTTGCTTAGCTTATGCTTAAATTCTCTCAAGTGTCCCTTTTTGTGACTTGCCATAAGGTGTGTGATCACAGCCCTTTGTTTAGATTTTCATTTAATGTACTCTAAAAGCAGGTTAAGCAAGATTCCCCCACCCCAAATCTCTCTCATTAACCGCCCAGGTTGGAGGGGTTTGGCAAATACACCAAAAGAATATTGTCACAACTCTGCCCCTGGATATCAACTTCCATTTTCCATTAGCTTCATTAAACCTTCCTTAGCTAGCATTTCAGCAAGGAACAGAAATGCTAGGATATTCTGCTTCTTCAAATGACAGGATAAATCATTTTACGACTCCAAGATAATCTACGGGATTCAATCCTAGTATGATGTAACATCCCAGTTTTACTGGGTCAACCTATTTGGGAAGAGTCTGGGGCAATGCCCTCTCTGCTCAGTCAAATGCCTTTTCAGTGCCAGGCAGCCAAGAAAACAAAGTGAGGAGCAAAGCCACAGCACCAGAAACAACATTGGCACTTGCCACCCCCTGCCATTGTGCTAATACTTGAATGAGGCAGCCCTACCTCAGCAGCCAACATCTGTAACAGTAGAAAGGTACGGAAATACATGATTCGGCGTGAATTGGCTTTCATATACACATTCTAGCAAGCAGCTGATCTCAATGTCCTTCTGGGCATATTTTTACAATATACAAAATATTACTAAATTAATATTAATATTAATTAACATACAATATGTCATTTTGTGAATATCTAAGTGCATACATCCAGTAATATATATTCTATACGTATTGTGCATCATTTATACTGCAAACCACATCACTTTTGGAAAACTGAGGTTCAGATTAAAATATGCAAAATGAATAACTTAGCATAAAAATATAAATAGAATAAAATTCTCCTCCTCTTGCCTGGGAATCAACATTAAAACTGCATCTCTTGATGGAAAGAAATGAGCGAGTTTACATTATTTATCCATCACTGGAAATCCTCAGATGCAGGAATCCATAAATGGTTCTTCACTTAGGACAGCCAAGCCATCAGCGCCTTTCTCAAGAACTGGCCTGGACAGATAGCATTAATTTGCCTCCCTTTCCCTGCCCACACTTTAAACATTCAATTCTCAACTTCACTTGAATGGGTACTAAAACCCTTCTGCCCAGGGGTGGGTTCCAGCTGGCACTACTGCCGGTTCACTCGTCTGTGCACTTTGCACATGCACGAATGCTTGTTGCACACTGCGCATGCATGCATAGTGCAATTAACATTGTTCTGTGCATGCGCAGATCTGAAAAACAAGATGGCAACGCCAACAGCACCGACCAGGGAATCAGTTCAGGGGTGAGGCAGGTCTAGGTTGCTGCCGGTTCCAGCGACCCAGGCAGCCAAATCACTACCAGTTCGGCCAAACCGGTCCAAACCGGTAGGAACCCATCACTGCTTCTGCCCATAAAGAAAAGAAAAGGAGAGCTGGTCACTTCCAACATCTTTTGCTGTGCTTATATAACTATCATTCATTCATTCTCATATCTAGGAAATGCCCATCTTCCTGAGAAAGGGACTCTGGGTGTGTACAAATAAATGTTTAAAACATAAAACTTAAAATCACCACCATCATTCTAGCCATTGTCTATTCACTGCAGGATGAGGGCCTCTTCCGCATGTTCCAACCAAAAGGATCCTGAGCTTTCTTTTAGCAATTGGGCCCACCATACTTGCTGATGTCGTCTCTCCATCTTGTTTTGTGCCTCTTCTGGAGGCTTTTGATCAAGTGGGACCCATTCTAGGACTGCCTTGGCCCACCTGCCCTCAGTTCTTCTTGCTAGGTGATCAGCCCATCTCCACTTCCATTCTTTTACTCTCTTGATGATATTGGATGCTTCCCTTTGTTCTTGAATCCGTGTGCAGGTCTTTCTATCTTGTCTTGCCATGCCGAGCATGGATCTTTCTATGGCTCTTTGCACCACTTGTAGCTTTTGCATCGATTGTGAGGCGAGTGTCCCTGTTTCACTGGCATATATTAGAGCAGGTAGCACACACTGATCAAAAACTTTTCTCTTCAGGTGGGAGGTTGTTCTTGAAAATTACGCTTAGCTGGCCAAATTCCTGCCAACCACATTTAACATGTCATTCCATTTCCTTTATTGTATCACCTTCCATTGAGATCCTTTGGCCAAGGTATATGTAGTCGTTTACTATATAAAGTTCTTCAAATATATTTTTCTTTCTTTCTTTGGTGAATTTATTAAATATAACCTGGCTCTTTTTCAGGTTTATCTTTAAGCCAAATGATTCTCATGCTTGTGCAGCCCTTGTATGTGTCTCTGTAGATCTTCTGGGTCTTGTGAGAAGAGAACAGCATCATCTTCACATCTTCAGTGATTTAAATAGGTGCCATTGATTTTTATTCCATCTTTTGCTCAATCTAGTTTCCAAAATACTTCTTCAAGACAAGCTGAGAAAAGAATAGGTGATATTATGTCACCTTCTCATACACCTCCCTATATGTTGATGTTCACTTTAAGACCATTAAAGCAAATTGTTGCCATTGTTTTTTCATATATTGATTGTAGTAATATAAACTTTAATATAGAAATACAATTGACATTGTAAGTTAATTAAAAGGCAGGGTTCTATTACCTGGCTCAACAATAGTAGCTATGACAGGGGCCACCACTTAAGCACAAGTCAGCAGTGTACTGCAGCCCCCAAGCAAGCCAATGCAGTCTGAAACTGCAACAACAGAGATAGCATCAAGATCACATGAAGTGGGCTTGGTAAGACCACACTTGGAACACTGCATCCAGTTCCGGTAACCACAAAACAAACAAACTATTGAGATTATAGACAGAATGTAGTGAAAAGCAACAAAGATGATTAGGGAACTGGAGGCTAAACTGTATGATGAACAGTTGCAGGAACTGGATAAGTCTGGTCTAACCAGGAGAAGGATGGCTTGATAGGGGTGACATGATAACAGTCTTCCAATACTTGAGGGGGTTGACTTTATTCTCCAAAGTATCTGAGGGCAGGGCAGGAAGTAACAGATGGAAAATTATCAAGGAGTGACCCAACCTAGAAATAAGGAGAAATTTCCTGACAGAACAATCAATCAGTGGAATGTCTTGTCTCCAGAAGTTGTGGGTGCTCCATCGCTGGAGGTTTTCAAAAATAGACTGAACAATCAATTATCTGGAAATGGTATAGGGCCTCCTATTTGCGCAGGAGTTGGACTAGAGCAGGCATCTCCAACCTTGGCAACTTTAAGTAAAGTTGGCTGGGGATTTCTTTGAGCTGAAGTCCTCCAGGCTTA